GTGTGTGTGTGTGTGTGTGTGTGTGTGTGTGTGTGTGTGTGTGTGTGTGCGTGCGCATAGAGACATTCTGAGCCACTGTGCCCTGGAATGTTAACGAGTGTCTATCTCCCTTCACCTATAGTTTTCTGTGTGTGTGTGTGTGTTTGCTGGATGTGTGCCAGCTCGTCTGTCATTGGAGCCGGGCAGCGGGCGGGTGTCATGGATAACGCCGCTATCCAGTCTGTGCGCACCTGTGCAGGTGGGGGGGGGGGTTAAAACGCATCGCGTGTGAAAGGCCACCGAGACGCTTTGTGATGCGATCACTCTAACTACTTCGTGGTGGTCTAGTCTTTGACCTTATATCTTTTGTAGCCTAAACGCTGATGCGTCCCTGACAAGGACGTAACAGGAATAAGTCATCAAAGCCGTGACTCAGCAGTTGCTCCTCATTAGGATTCATCCTTTGGGGATGGTGAATAGGGATGTCACAAGAACCGATACTTTTGCAGCAAGTTAATGCCAAAATTCTGAAAATGTGACGGTACTCGTTTTTCTACAGCACCGCAGGTACCGGAGATCGGGGCTCGAAACTAGCGTCGACCCGGGAGCGCTGGGCTAAATAACAGAGCTAACAGCTAACGTACGAAGGCTGTATTGAGTTAGATAGTTCAAGTTCTACACTGTCAAAATTAGAAAAGTGACCAAAATGTGTTCAAATGTAATCTTTGTCAATTTAGTTTTTGGCGAGAAACTTGAGTAGGATCATCAGAGATTAATAATACAAATGGGAAAAACACTGCAATAAAGGAGTGTATGCTCAAGGACATGAAATAAACTTTTTTAGGGAAGTTTTTTTTTTTTTTTTTTTTACTGTTATAGAATTGGGTATCGAGAATCATGGAATTTCACTGGTATTGGTATCAACTACAAAATATCAGGTAACGTGTATCCACAGCATGTGGATTGTGGACTGTCTGCAACAGTGCTTTCTGATACTATCACTAGGAGTTGCCAGTTTTTGCGATTCAAGAAGGAAAACCTCAAAGATGGCCACTGAATGTTCCCTGTACTGCAGTCCGTCACGCTATAAGCCGAGCAGCGTTCTCTCCAGCTGGAGGCGACGTCGTGTCGCCGATGACCTGTGTGACAGATTCAGGCGAGGCGTGAAAGGACCGGGAGGTGCCCGCACGTAGGTTAAAGGGGACATCACTGCGAAGGCTGGTGGGACGTTTCATGCCCTGTCGGCCTGCAGCTGCTCCTCCAGCTGTCCCGGAAAACAGGAGCAGGAGGGGTGGGGGTGCGGAGACGGGGAAGGAGGAAGGTGACCGTATCAGAAGCAGGCGCCTCAGAGACTCACAGAGGGGGGAAGAGGGTGCACTGTTGTCTCCCTCATGTTAGGATAAGATCAGAGAACACACACATTCAGCCACTATCACCTCACACACACACACACACACACACACACACACACACACACACACACACACACACACACAGACACCTGGACCTGTCTGAGGAGGACGGGCAAGGGAAAATGTACAGACTTGACTGTTTCTCGATTAAAACTTCTTCTTTTTTTGGATAATAACTTGAAAGTTACTCTATACTTTTTTAAGTATTCTTTGATCAGACAGTTCCTGATTTGAATCATAATTTAGTCACTGCATTTCTAATTCCTCAATCTAAAGGAAACATTTAACAACTTTGGTTTTGGTTAAATGAGGAAGAGGATTTGGAAAAAAAAGTATATTCCTTTAAGTAAGATATTAAATCAGTATTGTTTTGAGAAACCTACGTATTGTGTCAGCACTTACAATAGCACAAACAATACCCAGCTGTTCTCTGGACACAATGCTTAAGTGTGAGTAGTCGGCAGATGTTACATGGAGACAAGAAGCCCGTCTAGTTTTAGTATTCCATGATGAAGCCAAGCTTTCAGTCCCTGTGCCGTCTTTATAAAAGGAATCCGTATGTCTGTGCTTTATCGTGCAAGTACACATACCTGGGAAAAGCAGTTCACAATTGAAGTTGATAAATTAATACAGAAAGAAATATTTTTATCAACATTTAAAAGCCTCATACAGTACATGTATCTCTCAAAGGCTAATCTTCAATAAACATCATCTCTAGAATCATGCTTATTTTAAAAAACACAAGTGTGTATCCTATAATATTATATATTACGTCTATGTTCTGTGTCCCTTCTTTTGTCAGTCATGCATGGTCAACTCTGTACCCTGAAAGCAGAGATAACTGTAAGATATTCATTATAATTGTGAGATAGAAACGGAACAAAACGAACTGCCAACCCGTACAGAGCTTCCCATGTCCTCCAAAGGTCCGTGACATCCACAGACGGGATGCGTCTATGTGCTGAGCTGGGCATTTCACAGTTGAAAAAATAAAATACATACAACAATTTTCAACTTCTTTTCCAAATGTCTTTGGCATCTCTGTACAAAAATAATTATTGTTGCTTATCAGCCGACGAGATACAATCGCTTCTAATTTATAACACAACTTTGAGGTATTAGGAAACATGTTCTGGAGGCAAACAGAGGTAGAATGTGTTCTTTCAGCTGCACTAATGTTGGACCAAAGAGGCATTAAAGACATAGTTTGTGCCTCATAAAACATATAAATAGTTTGAAACGGTAAAGCTTTTGTATCATTATGCCCTCAAACACACACACACACAATTACCTTGATCCTCATGGCTCATTAGTAGTCTGTTCTCTCCATCCATCCATCCATTTTCCTCCGCTTATCTGGGGTCGGGTCGCGGTGTTCGAGAGTTTCAGCCATTTACCACTTGACATTTATGCCGTGCTGTAAAACACTGTCATTAAATGAGCAGTGCTGTTTTTAAAAGCCCATAGCCCAGCATGCTCGCCCCACCTCCACCTCCACCATGGCCCTGTGCAGCAGCAAAAATCACTGTTTCTGTCCGTTTAGCGCTCTCATCCAACTGGCTGTGCAGCTACTTCACAGGAGGAGGATTAAGCCGGAGAGAGAAAGTGGACATTGATTTTGGCGAGTGGGGGGGGGTCGGTCACACTCACCCTAAGCAGATGTTCCCAATGTGGAGACAAATCTGTGAGGGGGTTCCCTGTTGCACATGTTAGTATTTAGACCGGGGCCTGACAAAAGTAGTCAAAGACTCAATCCACAGCTCTCAGTACGAGCGATAGTGTTCTACATGAGCACATCATGATCTTCCCAAGTTAGAACACATTTCTTGTATCTGTGTTTTCTCTGTGTTCTTCTCGCTGCTTTGAAGTGTGTGTGGGGGGGGGGGGCTCCGTCAGACAAAATGACATCATCTAGACTTTTCTAACTTTAGCTTTGATTGTTGCTCATATAGTCAACAATGTTCATTACATCATGCACTTATCAAATAAGTGAGTTTTAATAATTCCCATTTTCACCGAAGTATTTCTCCTTTTAAGCTAAAAAAAAACTCAGCATCAGCAGACTCTAAAACTCTCCAATAAAACCTAAATTTAAGAGATTTTTTTTTGGGATTAGAGCACAAACACACACACTGGATACACACCTTGTAAGTGGAGAGAAATTATGGGATATATTACTGTCCTTCAGATTGAAATCACCCATTAAAATGATTAAAATCTCCAAAGTAAATAAAATTTAAGTGCAGACTAAGACGAGGACTGGTTTATATCCGTCCGTAATCGGTCTCTTGCACCAGTCTGACCCGGTTTGAGGTTCTGTCCTCCACCTCCAAGTCACATTACTGAAGGAGACCAATGGAGCGCCTCTGCTTTAGGCCGCTCTGGCCACAACTAAACCAGCAACAGGCCAGTGAGAGGCAGAGTAATTGAAAGCAGCTCTAAATGGAGAGGTTATGACATCAGCCGAGCCCACTGCGCTGAATGGGAGGATGTTGGGAGAGCGTTGGTGGAACAAGCCGAACGCCGCATTTCTGCTTTCCATTTCTGCTTTCCATTTCTGCTTTCCATTTCCTGTGTGTCCACATGAAGCTCACGGAATCATACATTATTTTTTTTGTCAAACTTTGATAAGTTACTCCTAATTGTGTCATGAAAGATGTTTTATTAAACACTTCATCAAGGATCGCCCAGCCTTTCTAAATTCTTTCTCTCTCTCCCGCTCTCTCTCTCTCTCTCTCTCTCTCTCTGTAGGCCTGCCGCACCCATTCGCCATCACCGTGTTTGAGGACAGCCTCTACTGGACGGACTGGCACACCAAGAGCATCAACAGCGCCAACAAATTCACCGGCAAGAACCAGGAGATCATTCGCAATAAGCTGCACTTCCCCATGGACATCCACACCCTGCACCCCCAGAGGCAGCCCGCAGGTCGGTGCACAGCCGCTTCGGAAGCTGCATTCCGAGTTCCGAGTTTGTTGAATCTCCCCGCGATGCCCTCAGTAATTAGCGGTGCACTTTTTGGAGTGAACACACTGTGTTCTGTGTTTTATTTTGTTTTGACGTTTTATCAAAGGCCGTGTTGTTGTTGATGACATGAACATGTTTTTTTTTCTGTCATTGTTGTCAAATGACAAACGGCAGCAAGACACGGCAGAAGTCTATAATGATCAGGCCTTTCTGGAGTTTGTACGTTCTGCCCGTATGACTGTGAGTGATCCTCCGGGTGCTGCGGTCACAACATGGTATCCCACACTGTGGATGGGTTGTATCAGGAAGGGCATCCAGCGTAAAAACCTATGCCAAATCAAAAAATGCAGATCATAACATCAGATTTCCACCCCGGATCGGTTGAGGCCCGGCTTACCAACGAGACGTAAATCAATGATCCGCCGTGGCGACCGCTAATGGGAACAAAGAAGAAGTTATGTTCTGTGCAACAGTCAAAAGTCTTTCTCAGAAAAAGCTGATTGATGTCACATTAAGTGACGTAGTAATGTTAGAGGTTCAGACGACTGGACTTTGATGTCTGTGCTCGTTTTTAAACTTTCATTAAAAGCATTGACAATAACATGCCTCACAGTGTGGACAAAGAGCTCTGTGGAGATAATATACTGTACATAACTTCAGCTGGAGTTGAAAGCAAAAGAAAACCGGTGTTCTCCATTCATGAGGCTTATGGGCTCCTTATGTGGTCACTTGTCTGTCTGTCAGTGTGTTTGTGTGTGTCTGTTTGTGTTTGTGGGTGTGTTTTTTTTTTTTTTTTTAAGCAAGTTGTGAGTGAGAACAATGGATCTATTTTTATGAAAACATCCGAGTTCGCAGCCGTCGGCAGTAGAACATGTAGTCATGCAGCAGGCGGGAGAACAGAATGCTGAACAACAAAAACATCAAACACAAACTCAACCCTCATTAGAGGGTGGAAGATGAGCCGGATGAGGACGGACATGGAAAATGGCAACCTTCTTTAAGGGTATCAGTGCACACAGAAGTGGAGGCTTTTTCCCAAGATCCAGAGATGATGGAATGATTTGCTGCACTTGTGTTAGATCCTGTGGTGAACTGGCCGGTTGAGGCATTTTTTCTATCAGCATGGTAGCAAAGACTTCTTGTGTTCTTTGCTAACACACCATGTTGAACTTGAGTTCTGGCCAAGGGGAACGTTTTGGTTATCACGCTGGTAGAATAGTTTAACGGTCGGACACTAATATTCGTCTGTGTTGGCGGGGGGAAGTCTGGCACTGTTCCTGCTGTTTTGGTGTAGATTCAGTGAGTCATGTGAGGTCGCGTGTGAGCGAAAAAGATCGAAGCTCCGCATCAATTAAACATAGCAAAGCTGCTTCAGAACTCGAGTGAAATCCAGAGGCACGCTGTGACATTTAGGGGAACGGAAGACAAAAGCTCTGCTGTCCATGTGCTGTTCATTATATTTTTAGAATAGAAAAAATGATGATACAAATGTGTGGCATTTTGGGAAATGGGCCTTTTTTGCTTGCCAAGAGTTAGATGAGAAGATCGAGACGCAATAATGGAAAATGTCACAGAGTTGCTTGCAGATCCTTAATTGCATCTTCATTTTAAAGAAACAGTTGGTATGTTTTTCTCAAAAAGAGCAACTGACCCTTTACTAAGTCCCGCCTCTTGAACCCAGACTGGCCAATGGCAGCATAGCATCAGCCAGATCCAACCAGACTGCTACAGGGATGACGTCTTTTTGTAGCCCAGGAAGTCAGCACCACACTGGTTATTCTCAACAAAAAGCCAACGGGATTTTTCCATGCATGCATTTTATTTTTGTAGTGTTGCAGATTCCTGTCACTTATTAAGTTGTACATACAGCTTATATACAGTACAACTGTATGTACAAGGAATGTCTTATTATAAGACATTCCTCACAATATTAATTACAGAAATTGGCCATGTGTGAAATGGGTATCGCTGTTTTGTAAAGACAAAAATCACTACTTCCTCAAATTAAAGCATTTTTGCTTTATTTTGAAGAAGTAGTGATTTTAGTAATCTAATAATTTTATTCGAATTATAAATAAAATAGCCTCTTCAAAAAGTTTCCAACCACATAGAGCATCATGTACTGAGCTGTGTGTGTCTCTGCCTCACCTGTAGGTGGCAGGAACCGTTGTGGCACCAACAACGGAGGCTGCAGCCACCTGTGTCTCCCCAGCAACAAGACACACACCTGCGCCTGTCCCACCGGCTTCAAGAAGGTGGACCACTCCAACTGTGCCAGCGGTAAGTCCCTCAACATCTGGATCATTATAATTGAGTGGATGTGACATATTTATATATTTATTCATGAAACAATAAATGCCAACAACCATAATTTAAGCAAATTACCATTTGGCAATTAATATATAAATTACAGTTTTTAGTGGTTACTACAAGACACCCACAACCATATTTGTGTCCTGGTGGTTGAATTTATTAGTTTTTATGAATTGGAATCTCTGGTCTTCTGCCAGAGGGTCTCCATCTTTCATTGGCGCATTAATAATCAAAAAGTTTGAAGTTTAGAGACAAATCCTCAGCAGTAGTGAAATTAAAGATTGTTATACTGATTTAACAGTCAGTGTCAGTAAGTCAGTCAGAAAGTGTCATTGTCGAGGTTGTACTGTATGATAAGGATAACAAGACATCCACTAAAGTGGGATTAAACAAGTGAAATGACATGTTAGGGTTCAGTGCAGCTAAAGAAGTGCTGAACTAAAAGTATTTAAACTTCTTTAGTTGTTTCACTACCCTGAGACATTTACACAGCCTGCAGTAATAAAAACATCTTTATTATACTTAATCATGTTAGAGAAAGGGATTATGATTTATGATATTAATCAGTCAGTTTGGTTGCTAGTTGTCTGTGTGTCAGTGCTGTTTTTGCTGTGTTCACTGTTGACCCCACTGTTAAACCTAGAAGACTGACAGAAGACCTTTGGTCTTTAATCAGGTCTTGACAAGTTCCTGCTTTTTGCCCGAAGGACGGACATCCGACGAGTCAGCTTCGACACAGAGGACATGTCCGATGATGTCATCCCTCTGGCCGACGTGCGCAATGCCGTGGCGCTGGACTGGGACGCCAAAGACGGCTACATCTACTGGACGGACGTCACCACCGACTCCATCAACAGGGCGCTGTGGAACGGCACCAAGCAGGAGGTCAGTGACACCCACAGTCTGACCGAACCGGACGCAGAAATCCCATCATTTCTCACCATCTCATCAACAGCAGCATTTAAGTTTATGGAATACTGCCATCTACTGGGGCTGGTGTGAAAGTGGAACAACAATTGGTGCTCTGTAGAGGATAATGTAGGTTGAGAACTGCTACTGGCTGGAATTTACATCTTTGTTGTCCCTGTCTCCCCAGGTGGTGGTGGACACCAGTCTGGAAAGCCCCGCAGGTTTGGCGATTGACTGGCTGACTAACAAGCTCTACTGGACCGATGCTGGTACGCAGCCTCGTTTCACATATTGTCACATACGATCATATTCCTGACGCAATCACCTGCATCATGGCGTGCGCTCTTGGATTTCAACCGTTCATGTCATGTCCCGGGTTTCTCAGGTACGGATCGTATCGAGGTTTCTAATGCTGACGGGAGCATGCGGACTGTCCTGATATGGGAGAACCTAGACCGGCCCCGGGACATCGTCGTTGACCCGATCGGAGGGTGAGATGATCAAAAATGTTGAAACACATGAAGACTGGATTCTACATTGCACTCTCATTATTCCTCATTTGTTTTATTATGACTTTATAGTTTCATGTACTGGACCGACTGGGGGGCCAACCCAAAGATCGAGCGCGCAGGAATGGATGCCTCCAGTCGGATCGTCATCATCTCATCTAACCTGACGTGGCCCAACGGGCTCGCCATCGACTACGAGACCAAGCGCCTGTACTGGGCCGACGCTGGCATGAAGACTATCGAATTTGGCAACTTTGATGGTTCCGACCGACAGGTAAAGTGTGTTTTTATGACGTCATGCATTCAATTTTTAAACTCATGTCTTCATGCTGATTTGTTTGACTAATTATTTTACGTTAACATTTAAATAGCATAACATTTGATGTATTTTGATTGCAGCAATTTGAGGAATTGCTCATCCTTGGTTGCTTGATTTGCTTTTGAGCTTTTCTGTTCATTTGCAATAAACCTAGACTTCCGCTACTGTTTTTGCCTCCAGGTTCTGATTGGCAGCCAGCTGCCTCACCCCTTTGGCCTGACTGTACACGAGGACAAGCTGTACTGGACAGACTGGCAGTCGAAGAGCATCCAGAGCGCCGACAAGCTCACCGGCTTGGGACGACGCATGCTTGCCGAAAACCTGGAGAACCTCATGGACATTCACATGTTCCACCGACACCGAGAGACAGGTCTGTGTGCATCCACATGTACAGTGCAGTCAGCAAGTAGTGGAACAGAGACACGTTTTTCATTCTTCTGTCTCGGTGCTGCAACACTTTCGATCTTAAATGAGTGAAACCGAGACTGTGGGGTTTAAATACAGTCTTTCAGCTGTAATTTGAGGATCTAATTTCAAATCCAATGTCCTGCAGTACAGAGATTATAAAATCTGCAATTGGGGAATGTGTCAGTACACTTGACGTGTCCTGTTGGACTTGTGTAGTCTCTTGTTACAAAGACAAAAAAACCCTCTCCCGTCACTTTCTACTTTACGGATTGTTGCTGCCTTTTCTCAGAGCTCAGAGAGGATTACAGGTAAACTGAACCCAGATCACTGGCCAAGAGGGCAGAGAGCCTCGGGGGGCTCATTCCAAAGTGAAAACCTCACTGATCTCGCTGATGCGCGGGGCTTTCCCATGTTCCCTTAAGGGAAACTGTGTGTTTCTGTTTTGTTTGCCCCCGTTTCTCTTATTCCCTGTTTCCATCCCTTGCCTCTTAGCTAACCAAAAAAGCAGGACGGTGGCTGAGCAGAGTTGTTTTGTGTGTCTCCCTCTGTAGTACATAACCCGTGCGCGGTGAATAATGGAGGCTGCAGCCACCTCTGTCTCCTGGCTCCTGCTCCCAAAGCCTCCAGCTGTGCCTGTCCCACCGGGATCAACATGCAGACGGATGGAAAGACCTGCACACCTGGTACAAAAATAATCCAGTTTTTGTTTTATTGTACACCCATGTTTGTGGTACAAACGGTAACTACTTGTTGCTAATGCAAATGATTTTTATGGTGCAGATTAACCAAAATACATAAAATATAAACTACAAAATCCCACATCTGCTTTAACTTGTTCACCTCCATTATCATTCTATAAATCTTAAAATGAAATACAAAGAAAAGGAAAACAACAGCAATGACAAAATCCTTAGAAAATATATTTTACAAGTCTTATAATAGAGAAAACTGAGTTCAAAGGATTGATGTCAAAAACTTCTCTCAGGAAGATAAAAGCATGTCGGCTCCTTTTGTATTGTGACTGGAATCCGCTTTGATGTGTGTGTGTGTGTGTGTGTGTGTGTGTGTGTGTGTGTGTGTGTGT